AACTTCTGTTCACCTCTTTTGCTCACTTCGAAGCAAAGGTTGCGACTTGGTCACCTTCTCCAACACCACATGCCTAAGGAATACTTATTAAGATACTTCTGTTCACCTCTTTTGCTCACTTCGAAGCAAAGGTTGCGACTCGGTCACCTTATCCAACATCACATGCCTAGGAAACATTCATAGTCAGACTTCTGTTTGTGTGTGTTGATCGGTTGGGAAGATGGTGGTGATCTGCTGCGTTTTGTTGAGGAGTATATGTTTGAGTGATGGCACTAAGGGGTGTGTTCTTCTTTTGGTGGATTTGCGTTTTATGTTGCGGATTGGTGTTCTGTTCAGATCGTTAGTTTTTCCATTATGGGTTTTCTTGGTAATAGCGATGTATATGGGTAGGTGGGAGGCGTGGTTGTGTCAGTCTGGAAACAAATGGTATTGTGTTAGTGTTATATTTTCTTGAAGTATACAGTTAGAGGAGAAAGTAGCTGATACGAAAATCTGAGAGGCTATCATGCATCCTTGGAAACCAGAATATAGTTTAGGCATGTGGAGGTAAGTCGAAACCATGTTTTGGTTTCGTATAATTCTCCGTAGAGCCCCCCCCTCCCCCCCCCCCAGAATAAAATGCAGGGCCTTATACTGGATAGAGACCTGCGGGAACAACTTTTTTTGGTTTTCGTTCCCGTGTTCCCGTTCTCATATTGAAAACTTTTGTTCCCGATCCCGTATTCCCGTTCCCGTAATGCTTTGAGAATAGCTACAATGATTTCCTTATTCACATTCATCAACACTACTCTACTTGATACTAGCTTTTAGCGACATTATGTTTCTCACAATACAAGATTGCGTATATTAACAGTAAATTTCTGATTGAAGGCTCATAAACCTATGGAAACTTGAAAATTGAAATTTCAGTTGAAACTTGTAGCTTGAAGTTTCAATTGAATTTAAGTTTCAAGCTCGACATATACACGTTGATTACGTGATTTTTAATAGTTTTGTGTAGTTTGCTATATTTACGTAGAATAGTGGAAGTTTCGTATTTTAACACATTTGGATAGAGCATCGACTACTCTATCGAACCATATAATTTACATTTTATTTTCTCTGGCTCTAGACCAAAAAATTGGAATATCTCAAAGAGGTATGAAAAAGTATTTTTAAAGGTTGTTAACATTATTTTTAATAGTTATTTTGCTCATATATATAAACGGAAACAAAGTACAATTATGAACGACGTTTCATATGAGAGCCTTGAGCTATCTGTAAAAAAGTTAGCATATATCGACTTTTAGCGCTACCAGCAGATTGCCAAAAAGATATAGGTTGATCACATTATTTTTAATAGTTTTGTGTAGCTTGCTGTATTCATATAAAACATGAAAAGTTTCTTATTTTGATACAGTTAGATAGAGCATTGGCTGCTCTATCGAACCATATGGTTTACATTTTATCTCTTTTGGTTCTAGTCCAAACGATTGATAAATCTCAAAAGCAGTCAAGAAAAATTTTTTAAGGAAGCAAGTTTCAGATGATGGCTAGGAGTGGATAAATAGCCATGTTTTGTATCTTTTTGCATGCTTTATTGAAACAAAAGATACCAGAAGATGCAGCATGAAAAGCTGTACAATCCACATAAGAACGCTTGTTTTATACTTTTAGTTTATGTTTTCAAAATGGGCAAAATTTTGAGCGTCCAAACTTCGACCGTCCGAAACTTCGTCCGACAGCATCTTTTTCTTTTAATTTCTTTTCAACAATTTCAATAAGCTTTGCTATCTAAATTGTAGAGCTTTTCATGCTGCATCTTTTGGTATGTATTGCTTTTTTTTACGAAGATATATTAGGTGATAAAAATATGAAATTAAATAAACGAATATTTGTTCATGTAAAAAAGCATGATTTTTTTTGCGATGGCGAAAGTTGGTCGCACCAGATTTTGATTTACTGAACAGAAAAGATGTACAATTAAAATAAGATTTACCATGTAGATTGTAGAGCTTTTCATGCTGCATCTTCTGGTATATTTTGTTTTTAATAAAACATGCAAAAAGATACAAGACATGGCTATTTATCCACTCCTAGCCATCATCTGAAACTTGCTTCCTTAAAACATTTTGTGGAACTCACGTATATTTTCGAAGAAAATAGTGAGTGTAAGTTTTAAGTTCGAGGTTTTGCGGCTCCCCCCCGCCCCC